AGATAGATAGATAGATAGATAGATAGATAGATAGATAGATAGATAGACAGACAGACAGACAGATAGATAGATAGATAGATGACAGGAAGACAGACAGACAAGATATAAACTTAAAAGAAGTAGAAACTGCATATGTACTCTTCATTGTGTAAAATACAGAAATACACATACCCATGACATCCAATTACTTTGCAATCCCATACTGCAAACCTCAGAGAGAAAAAATAGGGGGAAAAAAAGAGAGCTGCATGACGTTCCCTATTATTTTAAAAGAATATTCCTTGAAATGAAAGAGGGAAAATGCTTCTTAAAGCCTCTTACTGTGCATTGAAGCCACAATCACAGCTATCGATTTTCCTGCCAGATGATTGTCACCCCCCAAATGTCAAATGCAATAATTGAAACTTTATTTTGGATCTCATTTCACAGCTTGTGCAAGGTGAAAAGAGCTTTACGCCCTTTGACCTTTAAGAGACGACAAATGCTGAAGAATACAATTTATGGTTTATCTTCAGTCATCTCTTTTAGAGTCTTCTCCTAACATCTCACAGAGAAACTGAAATTTCTTCCTCTCCCTGGCAGCCAACAATTTACACACAGCCAACATAGGAAAATAAGTTCTACAAGGTACCCAATATTGTTGCATACTTCAAAAGCAAGCATGCAACAACATATGGCAGTCTAAACCACCAGATAAAGCTGTCATCCCAGAATATTTTAAGGTCCCATGCTTTTTGTAATGATCTGTAAAAGAGAATTGAATTTTTGCATCTTAAACAAGGATTTCCAGAAACTAGGATTAGGCAGCTGTTTTTCCTTGCATCCTCTCTGTTCTTGATTACTTAAGGAAGAAGGAACTTCTGTTTGATCAACAGGTTCTATACATTTTCAGCCTCAGTACTTATACCTTCACTCAAACATATTCTGGAAAAAAAATCACTTTTTTTGACTCTTGTTCCACTGCTTTGGCTTATGACTTTTCTGTATCGCTTCAACTTGAAGTCCTTACATTCTGCTTTCAGAAATTTCATAATGAGAAGCTCTATTAAGTTCTTCCCTCTACTCAGACTTTCTCCCTGAAAAAAGAGCTAATGCAAAAATAGTAATTAAGTTAAATTAATTTAATTAAAATTATACATATAAAATTATGTATTAGACAAAAAGGGCAATACAATCCTTGATTATATAAACAGAGGCATAGAATCAAAATCACGTGAAGTATTAGTACCGCTTTATAAAGACTTAAGCCACCTCTGGAATACTGCATCCAATTTTGGTCACTGCATTGCAAAAAAAGATGTTAAGACTTTGGAAAAAGGGCAGGGAAGAGCAATTAAAATGATTAAAGGCCTGGAGAATAAAATATATGAAGAAGGGTCACAGGATTTGGGTTTGGTTAGTCTAGAGAAAAGGAGAACTAGGGCAGTGGTGGGATTCAAATTCTTTTTACTGCTTGTTCTTTGGGCGTGGCTTGGTAGGCGTGGCATGGCTTGGTGGGTGTGGTTTGGTGGGCGTGGTTTGGCTTGGTGGATGTGGTTTGGTGGGAGTGGCACGGGAAGGATACCTGCAAAATCCCATTCCCTCCCCAGCCCCCTAACCTGCTTTCCAGCTACGTTCTCCAATGCAGGGGAACAAAAGAAGACCCAGCCGATCAGTTGGGACTCGGGAGGAGACAATAGATGGGGATGGGGCCAGTCAGAGATGGTATTTGCCGGTCCTCCAAACTACTCAAAATTTCCACGAACGGTTCTCCAGAACTGGTCAGAACCTGCTGAATACCCACCTCTGAACTAGGGGTAACCTGATAGCAGCATTCCAGTATTTGAGAGGCTGCCACAAAGAGGAGTTGGTCAACCAAGGAGAGAAGTAACCTGGAACTCCCTAACAGTACAATTACAGTACAATTATGAGTACAATTAACCAGTGGAACAGCTTGACTCTAGAAGTTGTAAGAGCTTCATCACTGAGGATTGATTGAGCCATTAGTGTTTCAAAAAGTGCATTCTTAACAAGGGCAACCCATAACCGTTTTGCAGTTTATATTGTGATGGGGCTTGACGAATGATCTGTGAAGGTCATTTTCTCCAAAATTAAGATGTGGTGCCTTCAGTATGGTGAAAAGAAAGCATATCTTTCTTGATTGAAATTGTTCCTGTCAGAATGTAGAGAGCTGCCTCATATCAGACTGGGCAAATTTGTTAGCCAGCCCAGGTGGGATAAATAAACATTCCTTTATAAAATGTTATCTTCTTCTTTTATGGCCTGCAGCTCAGGTCATTAGACTTCATCTAGCATGCTTTTGTCCCTGACAGATAGCCTCAGTCATGGACAGGAGCAAAAAAAATAAAAATAAAAACAGAAATGTGAATTAAGAATCATGTTGAGGAAAGAGCTGGATTTTATCTTGCCATTTTTTTATTGCAGTGTGCAATGGGATTGTAAGAAAATTGCTGAAGACAAAATTGAATGATGGAAACATCATCAAAGCCCTCAGTATCTGTCCCATACCTGTAATATAATATGCTGCTGGAATGACTAAATGGACCGTTTGGACTGGACAGTTTGGATTGAAAAATGAAAAAAAAAGTAGTCAAACAAAATGAGCAGGTTAAAACATTGTGGAAGTTCGGAATGCAAACTAATGTCTTGAAACATAATAAACTGGATTATTACTGTGGTTTTGAAGAAAAATGTTTGGATAAAGGAAGTGTCAGGGTTCCGACAAATGTCCTAATTAATTCATGAGCCTCGAGCGAAGTTTCAAAAGAAACCCAATTATTTATTAGGAGCTACATGCCGACACTTTCCCCAAGTGCAGTCGGCTCTGCCCTATGTAACCCACCTATAACCCTGTTTCCCCCCTCCTCCCAGGATGTGTCATAAATCACATTCTCCAATGAAGCACTTTCACAGGCTGTGGAAAACAACAATTTCTCCAGCTGGGCTTGGTAACCTGAGACACAATCTGGAGACAGGTATGCGTGGAATGTGCTTCTGGTCATAGCAACCGAACTGCTCCATCAGATCTTCCCCCGTCCTTCTTATGGCAACTCAAGAGCAAGCCAGGAATGTTTTACGAGTTGACAGGAGGTGGCAATACCAGAGGATAGAAGAACAGAAGACAAAGAACTGGAAAAGATAGCCAGGTATCAAGATCTGAAAGCAAAAAATATTATAGCATAAGCCAGCCATGGTGTATATCATAGTGGGCAAGATATAAGAGTTTATTCCTATTGTAGGAAGAAATTTGAAGAGCTAGGTGGAGCTAAAAGTATCTGGCAACTGTAAAAAGACCATAGAAATATTTTATGAGCTGACATGACTCATGATTTAAATGGAGGTAACTGCTGGGACAGTATCAATCTTCCAACGGGGAACACATTGTTTGCTTCTCATGTTGTTCTTGGGATAAACAAAATTAGACATTCAAAGAAATTCTTTTGGAACTATAATTCCCAGACTTCTCCATAGGTATTGAAACAGCAGGACATGTCAATCCAAGTTGTGCTACCTTGTCAGGTGAAAGAAAGCAAAGCCACTCACCAATCAGGCTGAAACTTCATTGATGATCACTTATATTACAAGAATGTCACTAGATTGCTTGACTTCCTCCTGGGAAAGACCAGATTATAGATTTGGGAGGAGATCAAGCTTCTATCAGAATAAAAATAATGGAAGGCACCTGGAGTCTTCCAGTCCAACCCCTTGCTCAAGCAGGAAATTATACAGGTGAAACTCAAAAAATTAGAATATCGTGCAAAAGTTCATTTCTTTCAGGAATGCAACGTAACAGGTGAAACCAATATATGAGATAGACTCATTACATGCAAACCAAGATAGTTCAAGCTGTGATTTGTCATAATTGTGATGATTATGGCTTACAGCTCATGAAAACCCCAAATCCACAATCTCAGAAAATTAGAATACTACATGCAATCAATAAAACAAGGATTGTACATAGAACAATATTGGACCTCTGAAAAGTATAAGCATGCATATGTACTCAGTACTTGGTTTGGGCCCCTTTTGCAGCAATTACTGCCTCAATGTGGCATGGCATGGAAGCTATCAGCCTGTGGCACTGCTGAGGTGTTATGAAAGACCAGGATGCTTCAATGGTGGCCTTCAGTTCTTCTGCATTGTTCGGTCTCATGTCTGTCATCTGTCTCTTGGCAATGCCCCATAGATTCTCTATGGGGTTCAGGTGAGGCAAGTTTGCTGGCCAATCAAGCACAGTAATCCCACTGTCATTGAACCAAGTTTTGGTGCTTTGGGTAATGTGTGCAGGTGCCAAGTTCTGCTGGAAAATGACGTCAACATCCCCATAAAGCTCATCTGCAAAAGGAAGCATGAAATGCTCCAAAATCTCCTGGTAGACAGCTGCATTGACCCTGGACTTAAAGAAGCACAGTGGATCAACACCAGCAGATGACATGGCTCCCCAAATCAACACAGACTGTGGAAACTTCACATTGGACTTCAAGCATCTTGCAGTGTGTGCCTCTCCATTCTTCCTCCAGACTCTGGGTCCTTGGTTTCCAAATGAGATGAAAACGTTGCTCTCATCAGAAAAGACGATTTTGGACCACTGAGCAACAGACCAGTTCTTTTTTTCTTTAGCCCAGGTAAGATGCTTCTGATGTTGTTTGTTGTTCAGGAGTGGTTTGACAAGAGGAATATGACATTTGAAGCCCATGTTCAGGATCCGTCTGTGTGTGGTGGCTCTTGATGCACTGACTCCAGCCTCAGTCCACTCCTTGTGAAAGTCCCCAAGACTTTTGAATGGCCTTTTCCTGACAATCCTCTCCAGGCTGCGGTCATCCCTGCTGCTTGTGCACCTTTTTCTTCCACATAACTTTCTATTAATGTGCTTTGATACAGCACTTTGGGAACACCCAACTTAGTTTGCAATTACCTTTTGAGGCTTTCCCTCCTTATGGAGGGTGTCAGTGATGGTTTCTGCACAACTGTCAGGTCAGCAGTCTTTCCCATGATTGTGATTCCTACTGAACCAGACTGAGAGACCATTTAAAGGCTCAGGAACCCTTTGCAGGTGTTATGGTTTAATTGGCTGATTAGAGTGGGACACTTTGAGCCTAGAATATTGAACCTTTTCACAATATTCTAATTTTGTGAGATTGTGGATTTGGGGTTTTCATGAGCTGTAAGCCATAATCATCTCAATTATGACACATCACAGCTTGAACTATCTTGCTTTGCATGTCTATCTCATATATTAGGTTCACCTTTTAAGTTGCATTCCTGAAATAAATGAACTTTTGCACGATATTCTAATTTTTCGAGTTTTACCTCTATACCATTTCAGACAAATCATTGTTCAATCTCTTCTTAAAAATCTTCCAGTGATGGAGCACCCACAATTTCTGAAGACAAACCCTTCAATGGATTAATTGTTGTCCCAGTCAAGAAATTTCTCCTTAGTTCTAGATTGCTTCTTTCCTTGATTAGTTTCCATCCATTGCTGCTTGTCTTGCTTTCAGGTGATCCCCTCTTCTTTGTGGCCCTTTAGATATCAGTAGATTGGCATCATATCACCCCTAATCCTTCTCTTCACCACCCACCCACCCATCATCTTCATCTTCTTTATCTTCATCATTATCAACACAAAGAAATCACAAAAACCACCTTGGGATCAAAGCTAGCATTATGCTGGACTCCAACCCTCCACTTGGCAACTATGACAGAGATTTGCCATTTGTGGTTGTGCAATGACTCCAAGCTTGGCCCTCGCCTGACCCTTCCCTCCCTCTCTCCAGCCTCACTGGCAATTCTCCTACATCCCTATATGAAAAACTTGGAAAAGATGAATCTAGTAATTCCTATCTCAGTTCAATCTCTGATGAAAAGGACGTGCGCATTTTTTTTAAAAAAATCTTTATTCCATTTCAAAGCCTCATTTAAATTACAAAATAACCTTTCTACAACTTTCATTATGAGTTGGAGAGTGATTGACTATCAATGCCTTGCTGAGATATAAAAGAGAAGGATGCTATCATTTCCTTCCCATGGTCCCATTTTACAATTGCCTTGACCTTTGTCATTCGGTCAAGCGAATTTTTCAGCAACTGAACCTGCCCTTGTTTCAAGCTCTTGCAGCCCTGAAGGGAAGACAGAATAATAGTTCAATCTTAGAATCATCGTACATTTTTATTTTTTTATATTTTTTTTCAAAAAATGGGGCACGGAGTGGGATTTGGAACTGGGATATCATTAAAAGCAGAGATGGTTCTGGTGCAGGCAGACTTATTTTGCTGCTGAGATTTTAATGGGATTTTTTTTATGAAGGCCAGTGCTTAACTTTGCCTGTGTTTATGGAAAGACGGTTTAATTTGATGAGAAGATGGTGACAAATTTCACAGTTAGAGTTTCCCATAATGCTTCCAGATAATGCATAAATTGCCCCGCAGTAGAATATTTCAAATCTTAAAGCTGAGAGAAGAAAGAGAAAAATCAGAGGCTTCTCAGTCGAACCTCTTAACCTGCCAGAATTTTTGCTGGAGCTTAAAATCTCTTTGCCTTAAAGAGTCGCCCTTGAAAACAGCTCTGAACCATTAAACAGAACGCATGGGAATTACATGAGGATTAAAAAAGAAAGACAATACATAAACAGGGGTGATTTTTTTTAAAAAAAGGGGTGGGGGAATAAAGTTTTAGTCTATACCCTCTAAAAGGTCCACTGAGGTAAATTTGAAGTTCTCTTTTAACAAGAGAATTTGAGGGAAATGGAGGAAAAAAACAGACTTGTTTTCAAAAAGGTTTCTTATGTTTTCCCCAAAGCTAACACTTGAAAACGCTTCAACAGCAACTGGAGGGGAATTTTAAAATGCAGACACATACACCCACAAGTACACAAACACACACATACACATACACCTGCCCGCACAAGCGTGCATACTCATATTTCTTCTTGGGAATCGGAAGAAGAATCTCGTGAACAAAATACATGGTAGCTCTCTTAACATACACTCTTTCTCACTTTAACAGAAGGACAGATTTCTTGAAAAGTTGCTCAGCTTATCCAAGATCTAGATCCGTGATGGCAAACCTATGGTACACGTGCCACAAGTGGCACACAGAGCCATTTGTACCAGCATACGAGCCATAGGCAAACTTACCTCACTGCGCATGCATGCAGCTCACAGCTGATTTTTCAGCTGGTTTGAGGCCTTTTTCGGCCTCCCAGAGACTTGGAAAAAGTCTCTGCTAGACTTTTCAGGACAAACAATAGGCTTGTTTTGTCACTTCCTGTAATACCTGAAGTGATGAAATGGGCCTATTATTCGGCTGAAAAGCCTTGCAGAGGATTTTTCCAAGCCTCTGGAAGACCGAAAAAGGCCTCAAACCAGCTGTGAGGTGCAGTGCAGGTAAGGGGGTAGCATGGGCGGGGATTGCACACACATGCACACGGGTTGTGGGGGGGGCGCATTGCATTCTGGGTGCTGGCACAGGAGCCCCAAAAGGTTAACCACCACTGAGCTAGATGGTTTCCAAGGGTTTCTGATTAAGAAGATTTGATTAAACTTCTCTAATTTAGTTTAATTGGAAAGAAGTGATTAAAAGAAAAAGTTAGCAACAATCTGAAACATTAGGCCTACTAATTATGTTGTCCTTACATTCGGGATGTGGTTTGCAAATGTTTCATGAATGTGTGGGTGAGACAAATAGTGTGATAAATTCAAGTTGTAGGCTGACTAACCCACAGCTACAAATCTAGAATAACAGAGTTGGAAGGGACCTTGGAGGTCTTCTAGTCTAATCCTCTGTTCAAGCAGGAAACCCTATATCATTTCAGACAGATGACTGACCAGTCTCTTCTTGATACTTCTAGTGATGGAGCAAATACAACTTCTAGAACCAAGTCATTCCACTAATTAATTGTTCTACTGAGCTATGATGGTGGAGTGGTTAGAATGCAGCATTGCAAGCTGACTCTGCTAACTGCCAGCAGTTCAATTCTGACTGGCTCCAGGTTGACTCATCCTTCCATCCTTCCAAGGTCAGTAAAAAGAGGACACAGATTGTTGGGGGCAAGATGCTGCCTCTGTAAATCACTTAGAGAAGGATGTAAAGCACTGCAAAGTGGTATATAAGTTTAAGTGCTATTGCTATTGCTAACTGTCAGGAAATTTCTCCTTAATTCCAGGTTGCTTCTCTCCTTGATTGGTTTCCATCTGTTCTTTCTTGTCCTGTCTTCAGGTGCATTGGAGAATAGGCTGACTCTCTCGTCTTTGTGGTAGTCCTTTAGATATTGGAACACTGCTATCATGCCACCCCGCAGATCCATACTGGACTTGGCATTGTTGTTATTTTATCATTGCAGTTGGTTATAGCTGCCCAATCTGGTGGCTTTAGAAAAATATCAAACCCTAGATAAATGAAAGAGATACCCAGAGCAAATAAATATATAAGCCTTTTGAGTGTGGTGTTACCAGATCTAGGTTGCTAAAGTTCATTAGAAGGCAGAATAAACATAAAGGTTCCCCTCACACATATGTGCGAGTTGTTTCTGGCTCTAGGGGGCGGTGCTCATCTCCATTACAAAGTCAAAGAACCAGCCCAGTCCAAAGACACTGTCTACTGACCACTGGTTCCATGGTCATGTGGCCAGCATGACTAAACACCAAAGGCGCATGGAATGCTGTTACCTTCCCACCATAGTGGTCCCTATTTTACTACTTGCATATTTTACATGCTTTCAAATTGCTAGGTTGGCAGAAGCTGGGACCAGTAATGGGAGCTCAGTCCATTATGCAGCACTAGGGATTCAAACTGCCGAACTGCCAACCTTTCTGATCAACAAGCTGAGCGTCTTAGCCACTGAGCCATCAAGTCCCTATAAAAGGCAGAACAGAGATACTCAAAAGTCTAACATTGAGTGTCCATACTGAGTCTTGTGGTCTAGACTGAATAGCCCTGACTACATTGGACTTCAGTTTGACCATGATATTCCATGCAAAACTGCTGAAGGCTATTTCCTAGCCTCTTCCTTAGAGCCTTTTTTGGACATTGGTGCCAGTGAAAAGAGTATGGTAATTCCATACTGAGCCTTCGTTTTGGTTTAGAATTGTCTCTGTAGAGATGATCACTTGGTCCTTTGCGGGATGGTTATAAATACCTTTTTATTCCACACCTGGAGTTACTACTGCACCTACTACATCCAGTTTTGGTCACCACAAAAGATGTTGGGACTTTAGAAAAGATGCAAAGAAGAGCAACTAAGATGATGAAGGGCCTGGAGGCAAAAACATATGAAAAATTATTGGAGGAGTTTGGGTTGGTTAGTCCAGAGAAAAGAAAGAGTAGGGGTGACATGATAGCAGTATTCCAGTATTTGAGGGGCTACCACGAAAAAGAGGGGATCAAGTTATTTTCCAA